CACCTCTTTTGCCGAGATAGTAAACACTGTCTCACCCAAAGGGGATAAATATCACCATTTGTTTCAACTCCCTTTCGACGGTTACAATCTCTAATGGCTATAAATACCCCCTTGGCACACTTGTGCATGGTAGGGGACAAAAATCTGAAAGTAGAGACGAGCTTTTGGCGATCTTTGAGCACAAAAGAGAGAGTTCTTCACCACTTTCAAGCAATTTCAAGAGCTCTTCGGTGTTTCCTCAATTTCAAACTTAGATTTAATTTTGAGAAGAGTATTTATCTTACTTTGCTAAGATATTTACTTCTGTTCTTGTTTCCACATCGAAACATCAACGTCAAACCTTCTCACGTCCAACTTGGATCGTTGAATCGGTGGTCTACGGATTACGCATCCCCGGCACAGGCAAAGATCTCACGCAAGCAAAGACTACTACGTAGAAGTTTTTGCTTGTGTTTCTAGGGAGCACCAATTTTGTTTTTATTGTAAAGAAAAGTTTTACGCATGTAAGGTTCACTCTTTTATTTCTGTTAAAACATTTGTAATGGAAACTGCAATGAAAATCGTTCCCGACGCAAACAACACTTAGATGCCCTGTGGGGCTCTTGGAGAAGGTGGAGTAAGTTAGCTTATTTTGGAGTGAGGAATCTTCTACGCATTTGAGTCAATGTGGAGATTTGTTATAGGTTGTCTCAAATACTCAAATCCATATTGCTTTGGGAGTTCCTTTTTAGGTTGGTTTGTTCTGATCAGGAGTCCTACTTACATTAGAGGTTCATTTCTACTTGGACTCTTGTTGGGTTTTAAGACATGTGGACTTCTATTCTTATTAGAACTCTTTATTCCTTAGACAACAAGGAGCTAAGATCTTTAAGGCTATATGAGAACAGTCTTTCAAGCCAATTAGATGCATCAATCTTCAGAGCACCAATCAAGAAGAGAGAGTTCTTTTGTGAAGCCTATTTGATATTCTTCTCTTTTATTTCTTTAGTTGAGAGTTGTATTAGGCTTTTGGGGTGTTATTTGGGATTGAGAGATTTCACTTTGTATTCCTCACAATTAATAAAGTTTTTCTCCTCCTTCGCTCGTGGATGTAGGCTACAAGCCGAACCACATATATCTTTGTGTTCGTGTGTTCTTGGTATTTTTAGTGCTCTCGTGTGATTGATATTAGCTTATCCTGGGGAGTTTGTCATAACACATTTGTTTCTTGTCAATGCAATTATCAACATAAAATTTAAATTGAGTGTAACTCATTTAGATGAAAATTAAAGTAAATAAATAATCACAAAACCAAAGTTTAGAAACCTAAGTGAGCAAAAACCATCAAAGTGAAACCGATAAACAAATTATAGTAAGGAAATAAACAAAAAAATAAATAAATCATGATATTCAACCACGTGCATTGCACGTGCATAAAACCTAATGTGTGTATGTGTGTATGACTCAATCTCCAATTTGACTCCACAAGTAGACCTGTTATGAACTAATGTCACACTTTATTCTACATACATATCCCAGTGACATTTATTAGGAGGAGATTCAAACCCATGGTCATCTAGCGAGGACTTTTCCTACCTAACCAACCGAACAGTGTTTAGTGAGTTCCGGTCTTAGTTTTCAGCAAGCTTGCTCTGTTGATATTCCGGTTTTGATAGGTCTAATCTAAATAGGATCAAGTGCACTGATAACTAAACCCGTAAAGTTTATACTTGTTTTGTAATAAGCAAAAACTCAAGATCTTTTATTGTGAATTCCTATTGAAATTTAGGAGTTTTTTCAGAATCACATACTTTTGTTTGTCGTAGTAAAGAAATTGTATAAGCTTTATAGTGTAGTCCGCATTATTTTATGATTAAATTTTCTTTGAAAATACATTTTGATGGATTTTGTTTTCTATAACAATTGTCCCACAATAAATATAGCATCCTCCCCCCCTAGATATCACAAATGTTCCATAGTAAATAAATAAAGGTGGTTTACATAAAAATTGAAAATAAAAGATGATTTTTTGTATAATGATCATATTTTAAAGGTGTTTTCGGAAAAAAAATCCAATAAATAAATCGCATTTCATATCTTCCAAATAATTATTGATTAAATTCCATACATCACTTGGATAATATATTTACTAAATAACTACGGAAATAAAAAACAACTCTAGAAAAGTATCAATAAAGATAATTATGCTATTTTCAAAAACATAAAACATGTTCAAGAAATCCAAATCCAAAAATAGAAAATGAAAGCATTAAATTTTGGGAAAGTTATGTCAAGGCCCTAAAAGCAATATCTTCATGTGCTACAGCTTCTTTACTTTTTTTTCCCATGTGGTTTAGTCCCAATAAGTGTGACATCTTGTGCTACAACCCTCTTTTAGCAATTATTACCCGTCAACTCAGCATAGAGAGATGATAAAAAGTACAAAACTCCAAAATGTCATTATCTACTTTATTCTTTCATGTTATGTCTATTTAGAGTTCGTGTTAGGCCTAATTTCATGTTAGGTCTATTTAGAGTTCATGTTAGGTCTATTTTCATGTTAGGTCTATTTAGAGTTCATGTTAGGTCTAATTTCAATTCAGTTTAATTCATATTAAGTACAATTTAATGTTAAGTCTAATTTCATATTAAGTCCAATTTAAGTCTAATTTCATATTAAGTCTAATTTAATTCCTTTTAAGTCTAATTTAAACCATGTTATGTCTAATTCAACTTGTTTTAGGTCTAATTTAATTGGACTTAACATTAAATTAGAATAAAAAAAAATGAATTAGACTTAACATGATTTAAATTAGACTTCAAAAGAAATTTAACTTGATTGAAATTAGACTTAAAATTTCATGTTAGGTCTAATAAAAATTCCTGTTAAGTCTAATTTCATGTTTGGTCTAATAAAAGTTCGTGTTAGGTCTAATAAAAGTTCATGTTAGGTCTAATTGGAGTTCAAGTTCGTATTAGTTCTAACTTAGTTCACGAATTGGAACTAACACGAACTTGAGTTAGAACTAATACGAACATGAAATAGAACTAACATGAATTAGATCTAACATGAGTTAGAACTAACACGAACACGAAAAAAAACTAACATGAACTCCAATTAGACCTAACATGAACTTTTATTAGACTTAACACTAACTTTTATTAGACCTATCATGAAATTAGACTTAACACGAATTTTTATTAGACCTAACATGAAATTAGACTTAACACAAACTTTTATTAGATCTAACACAAAATTTTAAGTCTAATTTCAATCATGTTAAATTCCTTTTAAGTTTTAATTTAAATCGTGTTAAGTCTAATTCAAAATTTTTACGTCTAATTTCATGTTAAGTCCGATTAAATTAGACTTAAAACAAGTTGAATTAGATATAACATGATTTAAATTAGACTTAAAAAGAATTAAATTAGACTTAAATTGGACTTAACATGAAATTAGACTTAACATTAAATTAGACTTAATATGAATTAAATTGAACTGAAAATAGACCTAACATGAAATTAGGCCTAACACGAACTCTAAATAGACATAATATGAAAAAATAGAGTAGATAAGGGCATTTTGGGGCTTTGTACTTTTTATCATCTCTCTATGCTGAGTTGGCGGGTAATAATTGCTAAAAGAAGGTTGCAACACAAGATGTCACACTTATTGAAGTTGAACCACATGAGAAAAAAAATAAAAGGACTGCAACACTTGAATATATTGCTTTTGGGGCTTGACACAATTTTCCCTTAAAATTTAGTGCTGGTCCAAGATTAATTATGTGTAATTTCGCAAATCTATACTACTTCTAAAAGAGAAAACATATGTCAAAACTTTTGCATACCCAATTTGCCCTCTTCAAATTTTGTAATTCTAATTTTATCCTATATGTAAATATATTAAGGGGGTGTTTGTTTTGATTTTTTTTTTGGGATTTCAAAATGGGATTTGAAATCCATAAATGATGT